ACACTGCTCTTTTACCTACAGTGCAACCCCTCGCCCTTTTCTGCCATTTACCAAACAACTCACAACTGTCCATGACAGTGCTCCAGTCATGTAAACTATCCTACACAAATTCTGTAAATTCTGCTGAAACACAGCTCTATGTTTGCAGAAGAAGTTCCAGCTCACAACATTTCTCAAGCTGGGAGTATTTGCCATAAACAAGAACTAAGAATGGCATACTTTTGGTGAAATAATTAAGGTTTAAGTAAATAAAATGTGTCTCACAGTCAATAAACAAAACCAAGTGTTTAATCTTCAGAATGTTTTATTTTAGGATATGACCGTTCAGAAGAAATCATACTCCTATACATGTAGAATTCCCTAACCATTTTAATGCCCAAGTAACATATAGCATCTCCTAAATGATTCATTTCTTTAGACTACTATGCTTCATAAAAGATCTACAAGCAGAACTGTTGATGAAAGAAAGCAAAGGGGGAAAATATGGGAGGAGTTCAACACAATGAGTTCTGTGATGTAAAGCATATGTAGATTTTTCAAATCCTGCTAAAAACACATACACAAGTCAGCTTTTATGAAAAGACTCTCTTTTAATTACTTACTGTACTTTTCTCCTGTATTCTTGAAAAACAAAGTCTCCCCTTTGAAGAATTTGCAGCAGTTTATTGTATGCAACTCTGTGTCTTGCTCTTGCCATGTACATATCCCGAGGCCTCCGCATTACAGCTTCAGCAAAACATATACCAGTGCCTAAATAAAAGCCAGGGTTTGGATTACATTATTTTAGCAAATGGACAACTTCCTAATCTACCTAGATCAAACTGCAAGAATCACAAATCAAGATGCTAATTTTTACCTGGACTGAAACACAGCATGCAGTGTACTGCCACTTTTGCCTTTCTCTCTGTTGCACACATCTTCATTCCCTCACTCTCATTCCCTTTCTACATTCTTTAGGTTACAATAATACAAGATGCTGAAACAGACAGACCTAATTCTTCAGACTTCCTCAAGTGCCAAGAAAGAAAATAGTGTAGCTGTCCAATACTTTTGGACCAAACCAATACTTGTGTGGGTAATGGTGCAGAGCATTGCACAGGTGAACCTTGGAACAAGACCCATAAAGCAATAGAGAGTAAAACCATCTGCATTGTTCTATCAGCAGTAGCTCTATGCAAATACACAGAACCCCATGAAAGACTTTCACCTGAGCATCCAACTAAGAACTTCTTAAAGCACCTGTCACATATGAAAGACTTGATAAATTTACAAACACAACATATGAAGCATTTTTATTGTCCCATACAGCTTACCTACAAAGAGCTTTTTCATGTTTTCAGTCATTACATATCTTGCAAAACAGTAGAAGACATGGACAAATTTAGCACCACCAGGACAAATCAGTGCGGAAGGAGCAATCCGTGGGAGACTTACTTCCTTCTGCTGCTAGGAAAGTACAGTCATTTTAAACACAAAACTAATCTGAGAAGTAAAGCATAAACAACAGCAATCAAAAACTGGTCTGCATACCAAAATGCTGCAGATTGCCCATTAGCAAGCCTGATGCAAAGCTAAATGACTTTGTCCACCCCTGTTAACACCTGCTGTAGTCAGCAGGAGAGTATAAAGCTTTTTCCAATGCTCCCAACACTCACTCTGTTCTGTACACAAGATGGTTTCAATGCAAAGAATGAAATCACTGTTGGATAAGTATTAAAAACTGGTGCCCTCCTCATTCCTAATTCTTAACACCTACCTTTGAAAACACATTCAAGTTTTCTTTCTTATTTTCTACTGAAGTCATGAATTAGTGTACTCTAATCATATTTAAAGATATTGCATCATTGGTTTTCACCTTACCCACTGTTACTAAAATAGTGACGTGTTGAGGAGCATAAAGACAAAATTTTTAGAACAATCATTAAAACAAAGGCAGCATAAGAAAGCAACATAATAACCAACAATACTTGAAACGTTTTTGCTTTGTCTTTAAAAAGCTTGCCTTACATTGTAGCCCCTTTCCCATATACAAGGAAACACTATTAATTAAGTTTTTCATGCATCTGAGTCAGCTTTCACAATAAGAAACACCTTCCCAGGCAACTTAAACAAAAACCCTCAAGCTGAAGAAACTTATACCCACCCAGGGCTAAGGAACTCTCTAGACTTCCATTAATCAAATACTGTTACCCAAAAGAAAGCCACAGCAGTTTTAGGACCCACCCAGGTCTCTGTCTTGTAAATTCCCCAATGCCAATATATTTTATTTAAGGAAGCCCAAGATAAACTATATGAAAGAATATACAAGGCAAAACTGAATTCTTTGATAAAAAAATCCTTATTTAAAACTCTGATATAAAACAGTTCCCTCAAAAAAAGAATAAGGTCACAGAAACTAGTAGAGCATAATTTCATCATACTCACTGAAATTTCCTTTAGCCACAGAGAGCAGTGCTTCCTACATCTAGGACTTGATAGTTTTGTGACTCCACATCGCCTTTTCATTTAAAAAGGAGGAGGAGGAAAAAAAAAAAAAAGAGCCATGTCAAAACACATTCAAATATTCAGATTCCTAATTAACCACTGTAAAAACAAGAGTAAGACACAGATTTCGTACTGATGCCAAGCCAGAAAATGAGGAGTATACACACCCTAGACCAAGAAGAGATAAAGGTTTGTCAAATGACAATGTTTTCTTTCCATAAGTTAATTACAGATCATTTCAGATTGTTTGTCCGCAGCTTTTTCTAACTTGGGACAGAGGAAGAAGAGAAAAAAAAAAAGAGGGCAGAACCCTGACCTTTTTCATATCACTGGTTTTCCTCCTGCCATGCATGGAAACAGGTTTTTTTTGTGTGACAGAGCCGTTTCAGCTTATGCATTCAAATGCATAAGCTGAAACAGCTCTGTCATACAATAAAAAAACTATTAAAGTACACAAGGTTCTTGCCATGTTGAAGGTCCTGGAAACAATCCATAAATGGCAAATGTTAATTTCTGTTTGGTGAGAAAGAATGGGAGAAGTAGATTATTTATCAGCTATTAAAATTTATATCAAAGTTGCTAAGTAACAGAAACAACTAATTAAGGCAAGGTTTCAGACTGATCAAAATTGATCAAAATAAAACAAATTCTCTGCCTGTATGCTCTTCTTCCAAAGTACTGCCCAAGAAACCACCTCCTTCCCCTCCAGCAACTATATAAAACGTATTCTTAATTAAGGGCACAGCAGTAACCTCAGAAGCCAAACACTTACTTGAAAATTTGTCTTGCACGGTTCTTATCCAGCTTGGTAAACAAGAAGTGGGCAAGGACAGAAAACGCTCTGCTGTTCGATTTAGCAAACATATTCCTAATAAACAAATACTCACATCAGAAGTAGTTATGGCAACAAATTAACAGAGCACTTTTACTGACTGCTAAAGACTACAAAACAGCGTTACATTACAGAATAATTAATTTAATGCTGTATTTGCTATGTAAAAGTATACACCTTTCATCCTATTTAACACGGGTAAATCCAGGGCTGCAACAAAAACAGTGTGGTCAACAGGTCGAAGGTGGCGATTCTGCCCCTCTGCTCTGCTTTTGTGAGACCCCCCCACCTGGAGTGCTGCATTCAGCTGTGGTGCCCCCAGCTAAACAAGGACTGTTGGATCAAACCCAGAGAAGGGGCACGAGGTTGAAAAGCAGACTGGAGAACCTCCCCTACAAAGATGAGAGAGCTGGGGCAGTTCAGGAGAAGAGAGGGTTACATCGAGACCTTATAGCAACCTTACAGTATCTGAAGGGGGCCTACGGAGAAGCTGGAGAGGGACTCTTCGTCAAGAATTGTAGTGGAAGAAATGGAGTAATGGATACAAGTTGAAAGAGGGAAAATTTAGGTTAGGTATGTTAGAGATATGGTAGAAATTCGTGCCTATGAAATAGGTATTTGGGAAAAAATCTTTACTGTGACAGCAGTGAGACACTAGAACAGTTTGCCCAGGGAGGCTGCAGATGCCCCGATCCTGGCAGTGTTTAAGGCCAGGCAGGGGAAGGCCTTGAGCAACCTGGCCCATGGAGGAGGGGTGGATCTGCGTGATGTTTTAAGGTCCATTCCAGCCCCCCAGTGGTCACGGTGCTATGAAACAATTCCGGCAAGAGTGTTATCTTTGAAGGCAAGTTTCCAAAACACGCGCTAGGAAGCCCCTCACCTCGCCTTCCCCACAGGTCTGTGAGGGGGAGCAGGAGCTCTCACCATTCCTGGGCTTCATTTCTTCAGAAAGTCTGAGACAATGTGGACTGTGGCGGCACTGCGGGCACCTCTCGGGCGCTCTTTGTCGCCAGGGGCACCGGGCCCCTCGGCGGCCATGGCGAGACGCTCCCGCCTCGCGCTCCCGAATGACACCCGGGGCCCGCTCGGACCCCCCGCCTCCGCCCTCCCCGGCTCTCCCTAGCACTAACCTCCCTAGTTTTATGCCACAGTGCTGTTTCGGGTCGAAGCCCAAGGCCAGCAAACAGATCCAGAGGTGATCGCTCTCCCACTGAGCGCCCGCGGCAGCTCTCAGCGCCGAGCGGTCCAAACGACTCCGCGACGCCGCCATCTTCCCGAGCCCGCCAAAATCTCCCGCGCGAGGGCCCGCCCATACCACTCCCCTACCCTCGCGAGACCTCCCGTCCGCCACCGGCGCCCGAAGTCGCGGCGAGCCGGACGCGGTGCCTCACGGGAGGTGTAGTCCCGGTGCCGGTATCCCTCCAGAGGGCCTTTCGTTTTTATAATCGGATTGCAGAATTTACGCGGGGGGGTGGGGACCAAACCAAACCAAACCCAAACCAAACAAGCAAAAAACCCCAAAACCAAAAAGAATACAAAACAAAAACCCCAAACAAACAAAAACCCCAATACCAAAACAAACCAACAATACAAAACAAATTTAAGGGGGGAAAAAAAAAAAAAAAGGAAGAAAAACACAAAAAACCCAAACCCTAACAAGAAAAACTCACGCCGAGAAGTGTGCTGTGCGGTTCACACTTTTATTGCAAGGCATTTCAGTGAGCAGGCCCGCGGGCGCCCAGCAGGCCCGGTGTGGCGGGAGCAGGCCGCGGCGCCGCCCGCACACCGACCGCACGGAGAGCTCGCTGCCACCGCGGCTCGGCCTGCTCCTCGAAACAAATGTTAACAAGTCCGCCTCCAGTCCCGCTCCCCCCCTTCCCAATTCCTAGAAAAAGTACTGTGTGCGAGCAAATGCAGACTCACCAGCCCTTAGCAAATAACTGATTGAGATTTTATTAATTTTTTTTTAAAAATCACTGTTGCCACAACTCTCCTTACATTCAATTCCCTTTTTTTTTCTCAAATTTTCTTTTGTCCAAAGTCTTTATCTCTTTACTCTCTGTTTTCCTTTCTTTTTACAGTCTCTTCCCCTTTCTAATTTAAATGCTATTCTTATACCCCAAACACTTTAATATTGAAGCATTTACTCCATTTAGTCTCAGGCGCCACAACTGATAGCATCATGCCCGCCATAATATCTGCACACACAAGGCATGTGGAAAGAATGGAAGTCCTTTTGTGCATAAAGCACTCTTGCCAAAGGAAAGCTCTAAGCGTCTAAGCTCTGTAGGTGCAGAGCCTAACAAAAGAACCTGAGAAAATCTGAGATAGACAAAGTCTCTTACCCCTTCCAGCAGCAAAGAGGTAGATGCAGCACTGTTTTTCACATAGACTGAAAGTGGGCAAATCCTCATCAACTCCTTTTGTTGGCAGCCCTGTATGCAAAGCACTGGGGTGTTCTCATGGCTGCTACCAGCAGGAGAACAAATCATCAATAAAGATCAGATTAGTTGGATATACTGGTTAGGCTATACCTGGCTTGTAGAATTGGAGCTTGACACCTGTGATAACCAATTAATGTAGCGTGCATTCCTTACATTGAAAAACCCAGATTTTTGATGCAGCTAAGTGAAACAGTACTGATTTTTAAAAAAGTATCCCCATAATCCCTAAACTAGGCAGGTTCATCTTTAAAAAGGAGAAATCTAAATTAAACATGGCAAGGGTACATTGTATCAAAAAGACATTTTCATGCTTCTCTATTCAGCTCTTTGCCCTGTAGTGTAAGGACCATTTGTGCGTGAAAAATCCTGTTGATCCTCTTCATCCAAATCCAAAATGTCTGGGACATCATCTGACTCTGAAGACAGGTCTGTAATAGCGAAATCTGGAACCTGTGTAGGAATAAAATTTCAATCAATTCAAAAGTAAAACTTAACAAATTTTGCAGTACTCCTTCACTGAAGACAGGACCCATAAGTGCTCAGCACCTCTAGAAATCAGACCAAACACCTGATTACAGAGTGGAATATGCTCAGACACAAAGGAAACAGAAACCATTAAGAAATACTACACAAAATGGAAATCAGTTGCTAAGAAGGTCAGATTTTATAGTAGAGATGCAAAAGAACTGAATGTAGTGAAACTAGTTACTGGAAAATTAAGAAAGGAGGTTTTCAAATTAATTTTGCCTTTCTTCTTTTCACTGAAGCAATGCCCTACACAAAGTAATCTGCCCTGAGGAGATTGATATGGATTTCTGTGTTGCTCTGCTTGCCTACTGCATCAAACCTTTTCTGACAAAACAAATACCTGGAACTGCAATCTCACCTTGGTCTCTGTTTTAACTACATGTATAGTATTCTGTACTGCTAAGCAGCATAGGGTTTCAGGAATTGCCAGAAAGACATCAGTGGATACGTGGATGTTAACAGACTTCTAAAAATGTTGGCTAAGACACTTAGGAGCTTAAGTCCCAACCCTTAAGTCCCCTTAGTAGGACTTAGATTACTTAGGCACTTCTGAAAAATGGAATAAAATGAAGCAATTTACTCCTAAGTTTTTTGCCCCCAGTGAAAAATACTCACATCTGTAATATGATTAATGGTTAGTTTTAATGTTGGTGATGTGACATACTTGGAGACAAACACACCATCAGCAAATAACTACTGCTGCATTTTGACAAGACCTTGGTTCTGCATGTTCAAAGCAACAGCAGCTTGTAGGTATTTCTGTAACTTAAACTCAGCACTGACTAAAGAGGCATTTTAATGCATTCCCTAACTGCAAAACACCTTATGACTTACTTTAACGAAAGACAGTAAGGAAGAAAAATATGTGCTATGCCTGCTATGATGACAGGTCAGAAGGGCAGACAATATATCAAATAAAGGGACTACTGCTTCCGCTACCAGGTACAATGTACACAATACAGAAGCACTACACAGCAATTTACTGGTCTTACAGAGTAGGTTGTCATTGGACACCAGGGATCTTTGAAATACTAATTATTTATTAAAACTGATCTTTAGAAGAACTTAAGCAGCATGTGACTAACCAGGCACTGCTGTGAATACCATGAAATGCATGTACCACTTTGGGAACTTAAGCTTGATCAAAATAAGATGAGTAATTTTTGTTTCCCAAAAGATCAAAAGGCACTAGGGAAACACATCTTTCTACCAGCAAGAGTTATCTGGCATCTTTCTACTTATGGCAGTTTTCCTAAAATTCTCATTACTGCACTTAGAGAAAGCAACAGGCTTCCCCCATTACCAGCACATGATCTTGTATTTCATACTGCAGTACAAACACAGGTGTCCTAAAAAGACTAAGTAGTCCATATGCAGTTTTTAAGAATGTGCCCAAATGGATAGTTTTATATATTTACACTGATCAGGACACAGTCATATTCAGTAAGTGTGTCTGACCAGTAAGAATTTTCTCTATCATGCATTTAAGAGATTTTAATTACTTACATCCGTTTTGTTCTTAGTGACAACAGAGTAATTGCCCAAATTTAAGTTTCTGCTTTCTTCATCTCCTTAATGCATGCAGTAGAAGAACCTGACTCCTTTAACGTAATAGTAAGATTTTGATAGCCATGAGAGAACTTCAAATTGGAGTGTATTAGAACAAATCTGCACCAGTCTAACTAAAACAATGCCCATGATGTTATGGGATTGCTTATGTAGATCCTATCAATTATTGAATAAAAGAGTAAGACCAGATAAAGCTCTTCTTCATGCAATTTCTCTGTATGATTCAGTAAATCATTGACAAAGATATAACACTTGCAAAATCCCTACATAGAACAGTGTAAAAAAAATACTATGGCATTTTGCTGTCTTCATACATGAAGTTGTTAGTATTGACATCAGCATTTAATCTCTTGTTTTTTTGCTAAGTTTTTAGAACTGAGCCATTAGCATTTTGACACAGCATTCTCATTTTGTGAGCTTTCAGAACAAGCACTTATTTTTAGTCATCAAGAGACTGTATTATCCAAAAGAAATAAAATTGCCATGAATTAGCAATAAACAAATATAGCTTCACTTATGAACATCGTGCATAATACCTCCAGCAAGCTGATGCATGTAAGACTCTCTGATCATGCAAATTACTAACCAAACATGCTTAAAAATAAGTTCCGTTCCATTTCATCTTTTTGAGGGTTTAAAAAAGCCTTTTGGTGGTAGTTACTGCTTTTTTTAAATAATGAGAAATAATTCATCAGTTGTTCCCAAATCCTTTCACCTATTTTATGAGGTATAAAATATTACCCTAAGTTAAAATCTGGAAAAGATTATTGCAAAATATTAATCTTGAAGGAGACATTTCCAAACCTTTACACCTTTCCTCAGATTGAGGCAAACTAACTGCAACTCCAGGCCTCATACAAATCTTGTAATTTGGCTTTGACCAATGCTATAAATATCTCTGCAAAACTTGTATACCATAGGGAGCTATTTACAAATGCTTATATTGAAAGCTTTTCTAAAAAAAACAATTATCAGCAATGACAGAATAATTGTTCTCTGTTAAATGTACCTGGGAAATGTCAACTAGCATGAACAATTTTTGAGTGATCTCTGCAAGAGAAAAAACAATTTTCTAAATTCTACATAAACCCTAAATAACCTTGTAAGTGATAACGATCTTTTTATCAGGTTAGTATTCTAACCTTTACCATCCCAAGTTTGTGTGCCTAGAAGCCTTTGATGTTCTTCCATTTAATCTAGTTTAACTGTCTTGTTGAATCTACTTCCTGTAATTTTCAACACATCTGGTCTTACGTTTTTTATAAGGTTCCAGAGAAACCTCACAGTTTTGTGGCCCAAGCTATATCCTCAAACATGACTTTTGGACTAAGAGGAAGTAAGCTTCTGTGCAGTACAGCTGAGCTATATAATATATAGTGTTAAACATGTAAGATGGCAGTATCTCAGCTTTCCCTTCTTTATTTGTGAGGAAGCATCTCAGCTTCAGTCAAAAACAGCGGCAAAAAGACAAGACTTTGGAAGGCATCATTCTTGCCTCCAGTGGACATGTCAACAGTCTCTCTCTAGCCGCACTAGAGAAAAATCCTAAGTTCTGTCGTAGAGCTGCAGTTAGACTGGAGTGTGGAATATGCTATGCTAAGTTACATGCAGTGAGATACCCATGCAAAATCAGTTGCAAATCAGTTTAAACATACAATGCTCTCCTTATTAGCAGAGACTAATAATCTTAACCACAGAACTTTATTATATTTAAAAAAAAACAGGAACATAGCAATTTGCTACACTCAGCTGTCTCTTCCACTAAGGAAGAGTTCCTAATTCTGATGGGGGGTGGGGGGTTGTGTGTGTATGGACAGAAACTTAAAAACATTTGGGGGGTGGGCAGCATCCAAGAAAACAAGCACCTATCACAACAACATGACACAGGAGCCCAACCATTAACAAGCCAGGTCTTGCTCTGTTTGCAGCCACCAGTTGTAGTGCAGCTGCCATGAAGAGAAGCCACCCAACAGTGCCTGGTAATGAAGAAATGCTTTGGAGGTCTTAGGCTGGTAACAAGTTTTCCTTGCTTTCCACTTCATCTGCTTGCTGAGATTTAGTACAGCTGGACAGCCATGCAAGGATACAAACCAGTAACACAAGACAGAATAGACACAATGGACTGCTCCTGCACTAATGCTAAATGATGTTATTTCTCAGTCCTTAAAAGACATTGAAAAGTTTGAATATTTTATTTGATTGATCACATCAGAATGAAGTCCCAGAGCAACTAAACGCGCATAGAATGGGAATTCCCTTCTTTGGACAGCCCACTGCTCCCACCACTAATTAGTTCCATTCAGTTTCTGAGCAATCTACAATAGTGGATGCGATCTAAAAATATTATTGCAAATGGAGATAAAGATGCTATTTTTGCTGGATCTATGCAATAATAAAGTAAACATAAATTAATTCCTGAAAGCGCTATGTCTCCAGAAGTCTTAACTCAGGCCCTAGCTGGAAAGGAGTCTCACCATCTCATGTTAATTTCATATTAAACACCACCCTTATATAAAGTGAGTATTAAAAACTGTAAGCTACAGAACCTTTACCTGCAATCCTGTTTTGCTACCGTTTCATTTAATACTGTGCTTAAAACAGTCTTCCTCACACTTCTAGGCCAACCCCGATCTAACAGCTAACCTTCTCACATTAAATCCGCTTTATTCCTACATCAAACCAGGTGGAGGTATTTGTTCCATGTAGCAATGTGCGACTATGTGATAAGTTTTCTTTGAACTGCATTTCTGCCTCAGTATTTGGTGACTTCTTTGAAAATGGTGGCTAGCATTGCTACACTAGATGATCACAACTCAAAGTTGTATAGGGCATGCATCAGGAAAAACAATACAACTTACCTGGATAGCCCTAACCCAAGAAAGCTTACTTCTTAGTAACTACTTATTTTCCAGTGGAGGTGTTCAAAGGACTTACTGAGAACAATTTTTCTGAAGTAGCTGAGCATTAATATATGCTCAAGTTCAAGAGGAAAATAAAGTTAAGTTAAAACTGGTGATGTAGCAAACACTGTTTAGAGGGAGTCAGAAGACAAGGCTGGTAGATGGCCAAGCACATACAACAAGTACTGTGAAGGGACAAGAGGGTTCTTTTGTCCATATCCATCTCTTTTCAATATTAGAACATACAGCAGCTCACAGCTTAGGTCATCTTTAAAGATGACAACAGCAAGGATCAGCAAAAGCAGCAGTAAAGCTAAGACAGACATACAGAAATTCAAAAGGAAGGAAATGCTGCAGTGGTATCTTACCTATCCATCAAACATTTTCAATGCACATCTACATCATTTGCACATCAAACTTGCTTTCTGCTAGACTCAGTTTGAGAGCGTCACAGAAAAGCAAGTTACATTGTTTTAAAACAAAGGAGACAGGCTTTGGCTACTAAAGCATTTATTACTAACATACAAAAAATGAGTTACAAAACAATGGCTACAAAAACACACACACACAACAGCAGGCACCTGGGTACAAACAGCATGAATCTTGTGTTTATACTGCATATTAAAAAATGTGTTGATAATTATTTGGTCAATCACTGGAACAGTGTTCATGGAGCATCTAGATGATACTCTTAATCATATGGTTTAGTGTTTAGGTAGTCCTGCAATGAGCAGGAGTCAAACTTGATGATGCTTAAGGGTCCATTCCAACTTGTGATATTCTATGATTCTGTGGTCAAGTTACTGTGTTATACAATAATTAAATTTGTACAGTTAATGTTAACACTGTCACAGCATTTTACTCCAGGTGACTCATTCAGAAACCCTACTTTCAGCTTTGGCATTCTACACTCACAGAACTTTTGTCAGGAATGATGTAACAATAGAATCTGAAATAGTCAGATGCATATTTATCAAATGGGCTGCAGTAAATATAGCACTTAAGTGTACACAGCTAGACTGTAGAGCTGTTAAATGCATTTCACGGTATGCAAGGCTTTTATATCATTCCGATAGAGATTAAGCAACAAATCAAAGGCTTTCAGCTATGGTGGGTTTCATTTAGACTAATGGTATTAATACCACTGAAGCACAACGAGCTGCTTGACAGACTAACAGGGCATCTTGACAACTGTCAGCTGCCAACACTTAGGCACTTGAATCTTGTTTGAATTTTTAAGAGTGGCTTAACTACACAGGACAATACAGCCCATGTGTAAGTGTCCTGGCCTCTAGATTCCCCTATTCCTGTATTTATGAATTATTCACCAAAAAATTGTGAAAATAGATTTTTTTGACAGCTACACTTAGTAAAGCCACTCATTTGCTCAGTCAGCAGAGTACATGCCTGCTATGCAGCTTGTTCAGTAGTGTGTTCAGGCTGTTTGTCTTTCTGGCTGGAACTCTCCTTCCCTTCACCTTTGCTTTCAGCATGCTGAATGCCAGGCAGTTGTGCGTAAAAGGGACCTACCAGCCAGTTGAGTGGTGTGTTGTTAACAAGATAATCCATCACATCATCCAGAGACTCCTTCATTTTCTTCAGCTGTCCTTTGCTAGCTGCAATAAAGCTGTCTGATAATTCTTGGAAAGAGGATGCTGACCGAAAGCTCTGGTAGACATCACCTGCCATTGACCCAACACTGTAAACCTGATCCTGTACATTCTGTGGCAGCCCCTGTAGGCTTGAGACCAGTGTGAGGCAGGTGGTCTGAAGCTGCTGAGTGAGGCTCCGTGCAATAGCTAAAGTTCTTGACTCAATGTGCTAGAAAGAACAAACAAAACAGCACATTAGTGTCTTTTTATGACTGAAGCAGCTTTATGTTGTTCAAGATACCTAAAGAAGCAAAATAAAGGGGACGTAGGTGAAATAAAGCCATAGCAGACAATAAACCAGGTTTTAAGTCTGAAGCATCAAAGACTTACATGTACTTGATATTTCTTCAACACTCAAGTACTTTGTGAAAAGAAACTGATAGCTTCTACTCAGCAATAGTCAAGCAGATTCTTGTTTCAACTCCGGGTAACAAGTCACAGCAGGTAAGTACTTTCTAAACAATGAACTATTCCTGAAAGCTATGTGTAGGACGCAGTGAGTCTGTGCCTAAGACTGCTGACAAATTGTTATTTCTGGTCTGCACACATCAATAAATGGTTTCTAGCGAATCTTCATACAGATATCCCAACATCAGTTCACATGCTAAACAGGATGAGTATTCTCAAGAGCTGAGAATGAACCGGAGTGTTTGCAGCAAGCAGACTCATTTATAAAATGAGTTCAGGTCCCCTAGTTCTCAGAAGTCAGCTGTCCATAGCTTCAGCATGCAGCCTCTCTGTTACACACTTTAGGGACTGTTAGTTTGCATTACCTTGGTAGGATAAAATACATTTATTTCTGGTGTGTATTTACATCTGTTTACCTCAGCACTACGCAGATCATCACCATCATTTTGGCCTGTATTTTTCTTCCATTCTACCCAGGATTGATAAAGCTTTTCCTGAGCACCAAGAAGTTTCTTATTGGCACTATTCACGTTCTTTCTGGCATACTCGATCTGAAATACAACCAAATAAGGAAGTAGAGCCAAGAGTCCAAACAGTTCCTTTAGGGCTTCTCTACCGTGACTGTTTTGTAACCTCCTTTTAAAACACTTCAGTATAAACAGCTTTGTGGAGTATAAGAGTGTGTTTAGTCTCATCAAAGAATTGAAAACTGAAAGCAGTTTTAAGATGTTGTGCAGTGTTCCCCCTCTGCCTCGACTATTTCCCTATCCCCTGCTGGCATCCTACAGGAAGAATTGAAACTGTATAGAAGGCCACGTGTCTATGTGCAGTTTGTCATGTACATAAAGGTACTTGCTGGAATACTTCAGTAAGCCTACTGAAGTACCAGAAATGCTCAGAGACAGAAGCAGCAAGAGAGCAAGTCCCAAAAGAAGTTGAAACTTTACTAATAAAAAGGATTTAAAGGACTGATGTGTTTCTAAATTGCATTATACTTTCTTCATTGAATGAAGTATGTGTCAAATCCAGCACTACAAAACGGGAGTAAATTTAAAAGTGTCACTTTTGTTTCTGCAGTGCTTGCAGCTACAAGCAATTGCTCATTAGTTCACAGCTTAGCCTGATTTGGAACTCTCCTGAATGGTGACAAATATCACTTCATGGCAAATGCTTTGTATTTAATGTAATAATGTATTCATGCATTTAGTCAGAGAGTAATCCCAGTTTTCCTGCAATTCTTCCAGCTGTTTTCTTCACTCTAAACCAAAGCCAACATATGGTTTTTATATATCAAGTGGAAGTTTCCTTACCAGACTAACAGTGTAGTGGAGCTGAGAGATTGTCTCCTGGCTTTTCTGTTTAGCATCTCTAACTTTGTTTAAGGCTTGTTGGTAGGCACGTGTGCGGACCTTTGAAGACAGGGATCCTAGTCTAACATAGTAGCTTGGCTTTTGGACTCCGACTTCAAAGCCTTCAACATTTGCAGCTTCTTTCTCTAGGTACGTAGAAAGGAAGCAAATCGATTACTGGAGGAAAAATTAAGAGGTCTGAGACAATTTTATCTGCCTAGTAACAGCTGAATAAAGGGCTTACTGAGTAGTCCTTTAGCACCATGATTAGACTGATAGAAATACAGAGAAACCTTACAGAGAAATCCTTACTTTCATTCTGCTTCCTTGTGAAGATGCTGCTATTACAACCAGCAAGGCAAAAGACAGGGAAGCACGTGCCCCCTTCCCCACTATGAGTAAGCATAAGTGATGATTGCTCACTTCTCTCCAATATAAGCATTCCGACAAAATCAAACCTTCAAGTGAACTTACCTAGTTCTGCTTCTGTAAGTGGAAGATACTGGTCTACAAGGGTCTCTGATTTTGTGAGAGCATTGTCAACACCACTGCTCACCATTTGCACCACACGACTTCCCAGGACAGTGTTAATGCTGCCATTGACAACTGACTTGGTCATTTCTACACTGTCTTGCACTGCTTCTTTGGTCTTGCCCACAACTCCAGTGATTGTGTGAGCAACAGTTTCCTTGGCACCAGTCACAGTGGTTGTTACAGCTTCTCTGGCTCCAACAACTACATCCTTGGCATTGGCAACAACCTGCGGCAGGACATACGTGCATTTACTAAAAGTATTAACTAGTGAGAGCTACATAATCCAGGAATAATGAATATATGCTAAAGCTTGTACAAGTATTGGTTATCTAGGAGAAAATTTGCCCTAAAAAAATAAGTACAAGAGAAAAAAAGAACATGACTGCCACACAGCTTTTGAAATTTTCAAAAAACTTCAGTGAATTTAATCCAGGCACTTCACGCAAGAAAGAGACAAAGACTAAAGTTTTAAAACAACACCCACCAGTGAACTGCACTGGTAGAGAAATGCTGTCACATAGTGGGCAATTTAAAATACTTTAAAAAAGTTTAATGGTTTCCCAAAGGCAACAAATAGTTTTACATATAAATCTTTGACTTTTTATTGCTTCCAAGCTGTGCTTCAGGCACAGCCTTTTGAAATGTGTCTCCCTTGGGTTTTAGTGATAATAGAAAAGAAGGGTTTATAGTTTTTCTGCTTAGCATACATAAATGGAAAGAACATACCTTGTCGGTGGGTTGATTCAGTATAGGCAGTCTCTCTTCAATTTTGTCTAGACCTATACAGGCATAGTTGTTGGCAACTACAACTATAAAAGAAATTACAAGAGTCGGTTTTAATTATTCTTCACCTAGCAAAAATCAAACTGAAAATTCCCCTTGAAAAAGAATTCATGCAACACCCTTGAAGTAGTTTTCTCCTCTTCTCAGCGAGATCTGAGTCAGCAAAGCAAAAAAAAAGGCAGATTTATAGTGCCAGGAAAAAAATCCTCACTTGCAGGCAAAGAAAATTCATTTGATAATTTACAAGCAACTGGCAGAATCTGAAACACCTGTTCCTCTGCCATTCTATGAAACCAGGCTTCTGGTTACAACACCCTTGTGACACAGCTTCCAAATTTAACCAGTTCTCAGTGTAAGAAAGCACAAAAGTAGCATCTGAAACTAGGTGAAAGGTGAGGAAGGCGTTGAGCAAGAAATTGCGTAATCGTCTCACATTTAAAAGTCTTCAATCAATTTAGTATTATGAAAGCTGGAATCTGCTTTCATTCTGGATTATTACTTCTTTTTTTTAAAGTCTTTTCAACTCAGCAAGTCGAGCAACAGGTTCAGTCAGCTACTTGAAACGGCATTCAAGACCAGCATGACCATGTTAAACCATAAGTGCATCTGAATACAAAAAACAATCAATTAAACTAAAGTTATCAACAGTTTAACCTTTGCCTTACTTTGTGGTTCCAGTTTCTGAATGATAGGCATAGCACTTGTCATGGCTACTGAAGTAATCGTCTTCACTCCTTTCTCTGCTATCTCACATACTGACTTCAGATAAGGATAGTTATCCTTTGTGGTGATGTAAGCTGTGGACACCATATCATAGGTGGAGCTCACCAAAGGAAGGTTGGCAACCCTCGATACAATGTTCTGTTTTAAAAGAGAACGGTATTAGTTGACTCCTATTTTCTGACCTAGAAGGAGGTCAGACAAGGAAATTATGGGACTAACTTGGACATACCTGCTGTGGATCAATTGCTGCCAATGCCATTTTTTCAGGTCTTGAACCTTACACAGCCTGTGAAAGAAGCATATATATATGAGTTACGACATCGTATCTGCCTCATCTAAGCACCAAACTTTGAAACCAACAACCTTCTTGTGGTCCACCCCATTTACTGGGATCAGGATTCATGCATACAGGAATTAGATTTTATTGGAACAATTTACAAATCCAAAACTTGGTTTAGTTAATGCAAGTCTAGCATATGCACGAGACAGGCTTTAAGGCACAGCAATTCACTGATGAATAACCAGGTGGTTGGGTCATTTTTTTCTAGAAGAATTAAGACAGACTTATCTGTTGAGCCATGACAAACAAAAGCCAGCCTGCAAGTTACTGAAAATCTAGTTTAGAATGTCCAAGTCAGACAAATAACCCCCCCCCCACCAATAGCTTTAATCAGATTCGATCTTCTAGGGAGCCCACCTAAGGCTCACTCTGTTCTGCTTGCTAAGGAGTTAGCATTCCTGGGACACAGAGAGCACTGGATTTCTCTACTGCAGAAAATAAATCTCCTTTATGATAATTTGGACTAAATTATTACACATTCCCCACTGAAAAAACCTTGCAAACATTGGTCATTCAACAAATCTACAGTACTCAACATGCATTCCAACACATATTCCATGGAAAAAATCACCACAAGAACCCCAATAGAAGGGGCAGGGTATTGCAGTACTACATAAGGAGAACACACTGAAACACATTGTCATCCTATGTACAGATGCAGGCTGAACTAAATCTGCAAAAAGCACATTTTCCATTAATGCTTTCACAAAATGCTGAAGTTCCAGAAGAATCTGCATGAACGAAGGCAACAAAAAGGTAAACTAGGAGTCCATGCTCAAAAGGATTGTGGTTTACAAGGTTTGCTAGGTTTGGTTTGCTAGGTTTGTCAAAGAGCCAACAGCAGTTTTCTGTCTCATATGTATGACAGCAGAAAAGGAACATGTTAATAGTTTGAGGTAAAATAAAACATTTACCCATTACATAACAGGCAATGAGGACAAAGGCATCCTGTTAATATTTTGCAGGCATATTTGCACATATTAACATACATGTGCCATAAAGTAATGCTGGTAATGAGATTAACCACTGTATGTGGAACACACAAGGAAAACAAGTAACAGACAATGGTTACGGTGGCATCAAAGAAGTTCTCATTTAATTTACCAAGTATTTGAATAACTATAGGAACTTGCTATGTTTTTCACATGGCATTACAAATCAGATCACTAGAAGTACAACTGTATTTCACCATGACATGCTACATGGTAAAGCATGCTACAGAACAGGAGAAGATGCTAATGCCACAGAATCTCGCCTTCGAAGGAAGAAGGGCTGTTACTACAAGGATTATTCAATATTCGTAGTGTGTCTCATAAAATCAATCCATACAGGCCATGCATTTGAATTTTAGCCAATGAACCCGTCCAGTTAGCTGGTAAAGTTATTCCTGCTCCTAAAGACAAGAAAGACAACTAGAATCTTGCACGCTTTCAGAGACCCCCTGAAAGTGTGTTCAGCCCTAGAAAATGTCAGATCCATCCTCTGGAGCAGGTGAGTGAGACGCCTGGAATCCAAGGCCAAGCACATTTCAGAGACAGCAACAGTTTCTGGAGACTAAAGCACACACGCTACATCACAAACTTCATTCCTACTCTCGCCCCTCCCTATGGAAAGAAGTGCAGGAAAGCAGCGCGATGAGCCACGCACAGCAGCCGCGGCGCCTGCTCCGGCTCTCCGCGGTACCCAAAGCAGGAAAGCGCTCCACCTTCCCAAGTGTCCCCACGGACCGCTTCCGGGATGGGGCATTCCAACGCCGCTCCGGGGGACGGTCGGGGCTCTCGGAACTTTCTGGTCCCGGGAGAACCTCGGCCAGCGCAGCGGAGCCCGCCGGGCCGGCCCGGCGCTCAGCGCCGCACACGGGGCGCGCCGCCGCCCGCCCCGCTCCGCTCCACCATATTGCGGAGTCAGTCCCGCGGGCGGGCCGGCGCTGCCGCGGCCGCCGAGAGTCGCTCCGGAGCACCGGGCCGGCCGTACTCACCGAGGAGGAGGAGCCGGAGCCGCCGCCGACGAGAGCACGGGCAGGGTCGCGGGCACGGGCGCTGCCGCCGCGGAGTGGGGAGCGCCGGCCTGCCCCGCTATTTATGGGGCGTCACCGCCGCCGCGCGTCAGCGCCGGCGCGGGGCGGGCCCGGACACGTAGGGAGCGCGGCGGCGGTCAGCGGGAGGGCACTGCCCTGCCCTGCCCGGAGCGCCCTGCTGAGGGCGGCTCCAGGGCCGCCGGTCCTGCGCACGGCCGGCTCCCTGAAGCGCAGAATATGCTGAGTTGGAAGGGACTCACAGGGATCATCGAATCCAGCTGCTGGCCCTGCAGAGGGCAGCCCCAAGGGTCGCACCGTGTGCCTGAGAGCACTGTCCAAACGTTTCTTGAACTCTGGCACACTGCTGCTGTGACCACTGCCCTGGGGAGCAGGGAGCTTCCCTTTTCACCTGTCCAGCCAGCCTAGGGGTGAACAACCTTTTTCTAATATTAAACCTAAACCTCTCCTGGCAGCAGAGCAGAATAAGTGGAACAAACCAGAATTTTTCACTTAGTTGAACAGATTTATTACACCTCTGCATACCAAACACTCACATGCACTCTGCTCTTTTCATTACATGGTTGTCATCTGAGAACTGTATTTGTTTCTTTTCCCAGTCATGTGGCTTCTCAAGTGTAAACAACTCAGTTTGCCTGTGGCTACCACAAAATAAATTAACACCCTTTGTCATGAGGGTCTCTATTGAGAATTCTAGACTTTTTCAGGGATTTATTTACTTATAAGTAGCACCATTTTATGTACTACAGAAACACCCAAGACTCTCACGGCCCAGTGACACACTCTGCCAGAATGCAGTAACTAGAGATACTACCAACCCCCCGACAGTCCTTGGCAAGCTAAGAATGTAGATTGTGGTCATGTTTTCTTCACAACTGTGCCCTTCAGTATTTTATAAACTTGGAGGGGTTTATCTGTATGGTTGTGTTCGAGGGTCCCAGGCCAAGGGAAGAGATGAGAATCCTGACTCCATGTTTCAGAAGGCTGATTGACTATGTTATGATATTACATTAAAATGTTATACTAAAACTATACTAAAAAGAATAGAGAAAAGGGATCCATGAGAAGGCTGGAAAGGAAAAGAAAACAAAATTTGTGACTGCTCACAGCGTCGATACAGGTGGTTATCATTGGTCATCAAGTAAAAATAATTTCACATGCTGTGTAAAGAGTTCTCCAAATCACATTCCAAAGCAGCAAAACATGGAGAAGCTGAAGCTTCCCAGCTTCTTAGGAGAAAAGGTCCTGGCAAAAGTATTTTTCTAAAATATGTCTGTGACATATCTGAAGTTTTGAAAATCTACAAACATGCCTCTTGAGAACATTGCCTTTGTTACAGGCAGGCAGACAGGGAGAAGGCAGAGGGAAGGAAGGGGGAGAGGATGGCATTACGTCTTGGATTGACCAAATTCCTCAAATATCATAAAAGAGAGAGAGCAGTGGTGTGGTCCATGTCAAGACTGATGAAGAGGAAGGCAGAAGAGTATCAAGAAAAGCAGTAGTAACAGATAACACAAAAGCATGACACACCAGCCTTTCCTAAAAGAGGAAGGCAATAATAGTATACCCTACCGTTCTCTTCCATGAGGCAAGGGCAAGTGTTTAAAGTCGCATAATGCATCTAAGTTTCATTCTTTGAAGAAGTATCTCACAGTAATACATCAGTATATTCATCCATCCAAGTCAATTTAATTAACATTTTAGAAAACAATTCCACCTACTGATCCTTAACTGCAGAAAAAAATTAAAGATATGAGTTAATTGATCACACAATAAACCTATTTATCCTTTGATGCATCTCTTTTAAACTTATTTTAATGTCCTTCAGGTTCCAGTCTTCTATCTCTGTAACACAGCTCTGACAGAGATAGCAGCAACAGATAACTGGGTCCTTCAGCTTTTCTTACCATCATAGTACTGCCAAGTGAAGGAGCTGCTGGAACATCAACCCCAGGGTCTAGCAGTGCTCAGGGTAGCCAGAGAGCATCCCTCCTGTGGCATCACTGGGGCAGGGGCTGGCAGCCCTGGGAAGCTGAAATGGCAGGATGTGGAATGCTCTAGGGAGAGCTGGGCAGGGACAGTAAGCCCTGTCCATGCCATTGAGGCCCTCACCAACATATCCAGCAGGGGACAGGTACTTCCACTTGTCTTGAGACCACATTATCAGCTGTTCCCTAACAAGGTGACAGAAAGGCCAAAGGGGTGAGCAGTGCTAAGTTTGAAAGGACCTGAGTAGTCTGCTAATATTCCTTTAGGAAAAGATGTAGTCTAGTGGGTGGATGTACGGCTGACTGACAGCAAGAGTTCTAGTGTATTAACCGGATCTGATAGAAGGATCTTCACCTGTACAGGGACCTCACAGCTGGTGGATGGAGGGAAGTCTTGGGAACTCAAAAAATGGGGGACTGAGAATCCCCGCAAATTGAGGTCACTTTATTTGAATGTAGTCATGCTTGCACATCAAGATAGCTAGCCATAGCCTCTTCTCAGTCTTTAGGATGACTGTTCAAACAATGAAATAGTGTCATACTCCTGATCATGTAATGAGAAACTATCCAAAAACTATCTGTTTGGCCTGCACACAGAGAGCAGAGAAGGGTGGCCTTTTGGAGCTGTCAACAAATTATGTCCACTCACAGCCCTAGGAAGCTGGCAGGCTTTGAAGGATTGCCTCCAGACACAGTTTTTGAGGCTCTCAGTAGGGAGCTAGAGCCACAAGAAAACTGACATGCCTTCTTTTCCTCAAGTTCTTGCCAGTAGCACAAGCACTGAAGTATTCCCAGCAGTCAGGAATGCTGTAGGGACACAAAGGAAAAGAAGGTGTTTACTGCTGTGAAGGATGGATGGTTCTGGGTCCATAACATAAATAATCAATTCAATTCATTACACCCATTCATTTGATCTTAATGATGTCTAATATTCAAAGAACATTTTTCTTTTACTTGTTTAGAGATGTCATGTGAGATGCAAGTGATTCTACTGAATTGGGAATCAACTTAGTTGTGTTGGACACCCTGAAACTGTTGTGAAATAACACAATTGTCAAAGTCTCTTTTCTCTCAGCTTTCTCACCGTTCCCCTTTATTTCCAGTCTTACAGTAATTCCTTTCTAGTCTTTGTAATCCTGTCTTACACCATTCTGTTTTGGAACTTGCAACTAACTTCTTATTCACCTAAACTGTTTATTTGCCTTACTCCTTGGGCTTGGGATTAAGCCTTTTGTATGCTCCTGTATGAAAAGCTTTTCCCTTGTCTTGATTAATCATGTCAATAGTTTTCCTGCTGTGACTCACTTAGTTTTCCTGTCTCCAGAAGAAGATGTCACATTTGTGAGGCCTGATCCTCCTTTTGTAAGTGCACACTAATTGTACTGGGAAAGAATAGCATCCTTATTCTGCTCTGCCCAGAAGTAAAGCACTCCACCTTTTGTTTCTGAGTAACACAACATGAAGGTTTTCTTTATAACATAAATAAAAGTTATGTACTTTAACTTTTTTTTTTTTTCTGGAAGGTGTGTCTTTCAGTGTGTCTTATATTTTGTTGTCTGTAACAGAATTAACCTGACATCTGATTCAAAAGAGAGTAACTGGGCCAAACTTAGTTCTCCTCTGAATACTTAAAGAAAGGCAAAAGTGAGCAACAGTATCATCAATTACAGGCAGACAGGCACTATAAACCCACCCCCACAGTGTGTAATTAAGATAGAAGAAGCAGGAATGGAATTAACTCATGCTGGCTTGATAAGGACAGGGAGTCAATTATACATATTTACATATTATACAGGATTTTTTTATTTAACTACAGTTCATCTATAACCCTCCCAGATATCATCAGAAGGCTAGGCAGCAACCTGTTATAGTGTCATGCTGCACTTCAGAAAGATAACAGCAAGCCTTCATGTCTCATGTGACATGTAAATCCTATCAGCCCATGTGTACCCCTTTAGTTTTCACCCTTTACATAGTAAAACATACTAGATGAGGCCATAACAGGACTTATCAATAAAGCAGTCTATTTTAAAAGACAAATTACTTCATAACTTACTATCAGAAAGAAAATGTCCTTGTTTGGCCTTTATCTAGGTACTATCAGTTAAACAATACACCAAGTACTGTATTTATGCTAAGATCCTGTAACTATTTCATTGTATTTCATTAACAGTCAGGAGATGTAGGTATGGATAAGGATTTTGTTGGTAGATACAAAATGCACAGAACAAAAATGTCCAGGCCTGTTCTAGAACTAAGTAGAACTTCTAGGACTATTAATATAACTAATAACTAATTAAAATGCAACTATTAAAATGTAGCTGTTAAAACTATAATGGCTCTACTATAAGACCTTCCCACCACAAAACCTGAGATACTTGATGTTACTCTCCGTCTAAATAAACCACATTCTTTTTTAATGTTTTATCAACAAGTCACTTATTAGCAACTAATAATTTCTCTT